TTTCCCCCCCCCCCCCCCCCCCCCGGCTTAATAAAACAATTCCTCATCCTTCAAGACTGAGGTCAAAGGCATTTTCTTTCTTTCCCCCACTCAGCTGAACACCTGGCTTATAATTCTGGTATTTCCTCACAGTTAGCAAACAGTGGACAGTTTACACGGCTCACTCCCTCATCTATAAATTCCAGAGTCTGTGTCTTTTTTCCTTAGCAATCCCATGAAACCTGAGACAGCTTTATTCACAGTAGGTGCTTAGTGTATCTTTGAATAATTCTCATAACTCTATTTTCTTTTTTATTTTTTTGAGTCGGGGTTTCACTCTGTCACCCAGGTTGGAGTACAGTGGCACGATCATGGCTCACCGCAGCCTCAATTTTCTGGGCTCAGGTACTCTTCCCGCTTCAGTCTCCCAAGTAGCTGACACTACAAGTGTGCACCACCACACATGTCTCATCTTTTGATTTTTTTTTTTTGTACAGACGAGGTCTCATGATGTTGCCCAGGCTGGTCTTGAACTCCCAGGCTCAAGCAATCCTCCTGCCTTAGCCTTGCAAAGTGCTGGGATTATAGGTGAGCCATCAGACGTGCCTTCGTAACTCCATTTTCTATTAGTTCTCTGAAAGTTCTCTTACGATCTTTATTTTTTTCTTCTATCAAGCCCCAAATGAGAAAACAATAGCAAGAACAACACTTCCACAGAGTCTGCCATCCATGTGAATCTTTTCAATATAAATGGCCAATTCAATTGAGTGCTACAGAGCCTATCTCTCATTTTCTTTCTTTCCTTATTATTTAAACAAATTATTTTATTTCAATAGCTTTAGGGGTACAAGTGGCTCTTGGTTACATGGGTGAGTTGTACAGTGGGCTCTTAGTATACCGGCCACCTGAATAGTGTACACTGTACCTGACAGGTAATTTCTCATCCCTCACCCCTCCACCTTGAGTCTCCAGGGTCCACCATACCCCTCTGTATGCCTTTGTGGACCAACAGCTTAGTTTCCACTTTTCTTTCTTTTTGGAGTCAGAGTCTCACTCTGTGGCCGAGGCCAGAATGCAGTTGCATGATCACAGCTCACCACATCCTCAACCTCCTGGGCTCAGGCAATCCTTCTGCCTCAGCCTCCTGTGTAGCTGGGACTACAGGCACATACCACCACACCTGGCTTATTTTTCTGATTATTCTGTAGAGACAAGGTCTATGTTACCCAGGCTGATCTCGAACTCCTGGGCTCAAGCAATCCTTCCAACTCAACTTCCCAAACTGCTGGGATTATAGGCATGAGTTACTGCGCCTGAACAGAAAGTGCTTCCTTTCTTTATTTTGAAGCTGAATGTCTATTCCTTTTTTTTTTTTTTTTTGAGTAGAATTCTCACTCTGTTGCCCAGGCTGGAGTATAGTGGCGTGCTGCTCACAGCCACCGTGCAGTCTTAACCTGCTGGGCTCAGACAATCCTTCTGTCTCAGCCTTTCAAGTAGCTGGAACCACAGGTGCACACCACCATGCCCAGCTAATTTTTTGATTTATTGTAGAGATGAGTTCTCATCAAGTTGCCCAGACTGGTCTCAAACCCCTAGGCTCAGGCTCTTGCCTCCGCCTCCCAAAGTGCTGGGATTACAGGTGTGAGCCACTGTGCCTGGCCAGAATGTCTATTCCTATCAGGATGCCTCACTAGGTTTCAGCTGACTTCCGTTTGTGTGTTGTCGGACTGTCTACTGACAGTCTTACCTTAGCTGGAATCTTCGCCACGTGGTTTTCTAGGATCAGCCTCTTCAGGTGCAAAATCCAGAGGCGTTTGTCTTGCTGGGACTTGGCCTGCCAAGAGTGATTGGGACAGTCAGAGAACCACCTGTCCATCACTCCCATGATCCTCTGCTAAGATGGGGAATGGCATCGTGAGCCAGAAAGCTTGGAGAGGCCACCTGGCATGTGGTACTCATCACCCACACATGGGCCCTGGGGTGGAGGAGAGGGCAGCGCTCTACCTGGACTGTATGTTGCAGCTTGGGGTTCTTGTAGTGGAAGACGCTGAAGCTGAGCGGCTCCTTCGGAATCACTTCCACCAGCATGAGGTTGCCACACTGGAGAAGGAAGAGTACACAGGGTGAGGCATGTGTGGGGGACAAGGGAGAGGCCACCTGCGTTCTTGCCCGTGGTCGGTGGCACGCACACCTACCAGAATGTGAGCTTTGTACGTGAACGTGTCATCTCTCTTCTTTGTGATGAGAAGCAGCTTGTCGAAGAGGAAGAGGGTTCGCTCATTCTTGGCCCGCTGGATGCGGAAGGTTCCCTCCAGCACCAGTTCCCCGTAGCTGGTCAGGTCTGGCCCCTTCCAGTTAGTGAGCAAACTCTGGATCTCCTGGGAAAGCGAAGGAGCCAGGCATTATGCAGGAGGCAGGAAGTGGAGTGTCAATGGCCAGGGCCCATCTGTTGAGGCTCAAGGTCCACCACAGGGGCTAGGTGGGATCTGATGGTGTTTAATGATCAGGGACATAAATCTGTGTTTTGGGGTGGTGCCCCTTAAGGGTTAACAGAAATTAATTTAAAAAAAAAATTTAATTTTAGTCTGGGCATGGTGGCTCATGCCTATAATCCCAGCACTTGGGGAGGCCGAGGTGAGAGGATGGCCTGAGCCCAGGGGTTGCAGACCAGCCTGGGCAACTTGGTAAGACCTCATCTCTACAGTAAATAAAAAAATTAGCTGGGCATGGTGGCATGTGGCTGTAGTTCCAACTACTTGGAAGACTGAGGCAGACGGATCACCTGAGCCCAGCAGGTTGAGGCTGTGGTGGCCGTGAGCGTGCCACTGTACTCCAGCCTGGGTGACAGAGTGAGACTACAACTAAAAAAAATTTTTTTTTTAATTTTAATTTTTGTAGAGGCAGGGTCTTGCTATGTTGCCCAGGTTGGTTTTGAACTCTTGGGTGGTTTTTTTTTGTTTTTTGTTTTTGAGTTGGCATCTCACTCTATTGCCCAGGCTGGAGTGCAATGGCATGATCATGTCTACTGCAGGCTTGATCTCTTGGGTTCAGGCTGCCTGGCACGTGGCAGCTTTAATCTCAGCTTTAATCTTGTGAGTAACTGGGACTACAGGTATGTGCCACCATGCCTGGCTAATTTTTTGATTTATTATAGAGATGAGGTCTTGTTATGTTGCTTAGGCTGGTGTTGAACTCCTGAGTTCAAGCAATCCTCTTGCCTTGGCCTCCCAAAGTGCTGGGATCACAGGTGTGAGCCACTGTGCCCGGCCATGTTTTATTTTTAATAGTGCAACTTTTGAGGTGCCCAGGACACACTGGCCCAGCATCTGTCAAAAGTTCCTAAGGATCTAGGGGTCAAAAGGTTGGTGCTAGACAGGACGTTAGCAAATGTTTCCTCTGACAGTCTTTAAAAGATGAGGAAACTAAAACGACATACTGAAGAGTCATATACCAAATGAAACTGCAAAGGAGCTAGTTTCAGCCTTTGTTCCCCTTACTCTGAGTCTCCTGCCTATGACCACAGACACACCATCCTATGATTTTGCAGAGACTAGTGAGAGAGAAATGAAGGCCTAAAAAGCCTTTACACAGTTTAGGGAAAGATGATTTCAACAAGAATTATTAATCTGTAATTTCTGTAATCAATATCAGGCCTTAGGAGACTCATTTTTTTTTTTTTTTTTTTTTTAAGTCAGAGTCTCATTCTGTCACCCAGGCTGGAATGCAGTAGCACACTCACAGCCATTGCAACCTCGACCTGCTGGGCTCAGGCAATCCTCCCACTTCAGCCTTCCAGGTAGCTGGAACTACAGGCACATGCCACCACACCTGGCTAATTTTTTGATTTATTGTAGAGAAGAGGTCTCACTAAGTTGCCTAGGCTGGTCTGAAACCAGCGGCCTCAGACAATCCTCTCATGTTGGCCTCCCAAAGTGCTGGGATTCATATTTTTAACTTGGGTCATAGAAGAGTCTATGAGCAAACCATTAACTTAAAAGTTACAGGTAACTTTTTCTTAAGTAGATATACTAAACAGGCATGTCCAACCTACGGCTCATAAGTCATATGTAGCCCGGGACAGCAAGTAATGTGGCCCCACAAAATCTTTTAACATCATGTGTTTTTTAGTGTTTATTTTCTGCATGATCCCATGAGTAGCATCATTTTTTGAAGTTCACAATCAGGCCTTACTCATGACATCACGTTTTGGCAGTACATATAATGTGGGCAGCTGTTTTCAATTATGAAGCACACGAAGAACAAAATTTGAACAAACATTTCTGACAAATACCTTGAGAACTCACTATGAATTGTGAACACTTCCATTGAACCAAACATGGATAGGTTAGTTTTATAAAAACAAAGTCAAATTTCCCACTAATTTTATATTCCCATTTTTCTAAACCTTATAATAAAAAAGTTAAAAAATAAAAGAAGTCTTATTATGTACATACTCTAACTATATTAAATATATATATTTTGAGTTGGAGTCTCACTTTATTGCCCAGGCTGGAGTGCAGTGGCATACTCACTGCCACCGCAGCCTTGACCTGCTGGACCCAGGCAATCCTTCCATCTCAGCTGTCCATGTTGATGGAAACACAGCTGTGAGTCACCACTCCTGGGTAACTTTCTGATTTATTATAGAGATGAGGTCTTGCCAAGTTGTCCAGGCTGGGCTTGAACTCCCAAGCTCAGGCAATCCTCTTGCCTCTGCCTCCTAATGTGCTGGGATTACAGGCATGAGCCACCATGCCCAGTAGCCTGAATATTTGATTTGGAAAACGGTAACAAGTCTGCACCTGCAACTCTGCCGGAAACCACCGCCTCGTGGGCTCACCTGTAACCGGACTGCGTGCTCATGTTTCCGCTTCATGTCATTGATGTGCCAGGCCACCCGCTGCATTGTGTCGATAGCATCAAGCACCACATCGTAGCCTTCTGTGTCCTTATCAAGGTGATTTTCTATTTCCTTTAAAAAAAAAATTACTGGTCATTGTCCATTTTTTCTCATACAGTCAATGAAACAAATGGCACCTCTATGGTTAGTCCCTTTTATATATATATATATATATATATATTTTGCTTGTTTATTTACACAACACCATCATTTCTTAAGATTCTGAGGCCAGAAATACCTGCAACAAAATGGTAAGATAGGAATGAAAACAGGAACAGGAAAACAAAAGTAGAATTCTAAGACAAAGTAGAGAACATAAAACATACATGTAGCCCATTAAGTTTTATAGCGATATTATAGCTATTATAATAGACACGAGATTTGATCTTATAGCTGTAGAGTTCTGAGGTCCCTGGTGGCCAGTGTAACACAACATAATTGGTTCTTTTTCTTTTTTCTGAGACAGAGTCTCACTGTCATTCACTGACATGGCCGCCACAAGCCTCGACCTGCGGGGTTCAGGTGATCTTTCCGCCTCAGCCTTCCAAGTAGCTGGAACTATAGGTGCCCACCACAGTGCTCTGCTAATTTTTTGACTTGTTATAGAGATGAGTCTTGCCAAGTTGCCCAGGCTGGTCTTGAACTCCTGGGCTCAGGCAATCCTCTTGCCTCTGCCTCCCAAAGTGCTAGGATTACAGGCGTGAGCTACTGTGCCCAGTTGTTCTAATACTTCCAAGCACATCTGTCCATAGACTCCTCGGGAATCTGAGGGCAGAGACCATCGACCACTGTATACAGTTCCTTTAATTCTTTTTTGAGTCAGAGTCTCACCCTGTCACTCAGGCTGGAGTACAGTGGCATGCTCACGGCTATTACAGCCTCAACTTGCTGGGCTCAGGCGATCCTTCTGCCTAAGCTGCCCAAATAGCTGGAACTATAGGCATGCACCACCAAGCCCAGCTAATTTTTTGATTCATTGTAGAGACAAGGTCTCGCCAGTTTGCCCAGGCTGGTCTCGAATCCTTGGTCTTAGGCAATCCTCTCGCCTCTGCCTCCCAAAGTGCTGGGATGACAGGCGTTAGCCACCGTGCCTGGTCTTTGTTTCTTTATCTTCTCTACTGTGCCTAGCAGAGAAGTGGGTATTCAATAAATGCTTATTAAATGAACCATATGTCCTTAAAAATAACAGTAACAGTAATCTTATATTAGTATCTAAAACAGCAAGAAAATATTATAGTCAATTAGAATACTTCTATAATATTTACCATGAATATAATCAGTAAGCTAAAGGGTGAAGGTTGAATCTTTCGGTATAAGTTATTCATTTCATTATTTTATAGTACTGCTTTGTAACTCTTTGTTTACTTTTATTGAGAACTCAGATTTTTCATCTAGCTAGAAACTGGAGAGGAACTGACATTTCCTTTCCATGCTCTGACTTAGCTGCTAACAAGTCCTGTGAGGTCAGGTGTGGTGGCTCACACCTGTCATCCCAGTACTTTGGGAGGCCAAGGCAGGAGAATCACTTGAGCTCAGGAGTTTGAGACCAGTCTGGGCAACATAGAGAGATCTTGTCTCTACAAAAACCAGAAAAAATTAGGTGGGTGTGTGGTGCGTGCCTTTAATCTCAGTTTCTTGGGAGGCTGAGGCAAGAGGATTGTTTGAGCCCATGAGGTTGAGGCTGTGGTGAGCTTTGATCATGCCACTGGACTCCAGCCTGGACGATAAGTGAGATCCTGACTCCAAAAGAAAAATAAATAAATAAAATAAAAGTCCTATGAAGCCATACCACGAAACAAACGACTCCCATGTAAGTTCAAGGTCAATGGCATATTTAAAAAAATAATTTCTCCATTTAGCCTGAGAAGAATTCTGTTAATCAGTAAACAGACTGGGAAGAAACAGAGGATACTCCCGTGGGGATTTTCATGGATGGCTACACAACTTTAGATGATATGAATGACATGACCCTCTAACCAACTAGAAAAGCAAAGACTTCAAAGGCAACAGGAAGTGAGTTGTGGATTAATCCAACCACTGCTCTTCCATTTCTTCTTCATTGCCAGCTTTTTTTTTTTTTTAAAGCTGGAGTCTCACTCTGTTGTCCAGGCTGGAGTGGGTGGCACACTCACGGCCACTGCAACCTCGACCTGCTGGGCTCGGGCGATCCTTCCACCTCAGTCTTCCAAGTAGTTGGAATTATAAGCGTGCATCACCATGCCCAGCTAAGTTTTTGATTGTAGACATGAGGTCTCTCCAAATTGCCCAGGCGGGTCTTGCAACCCCAGGCTCAGGCAGTCCACTTGCCTCCACCCCCGAAGTTCTAGGATTACAGGCATGAGCTAGCTCTTAATATAGAAGATAAGGGCTGTTTCTCCTTCTAGTTAACTTTTTGTAAGGATCTTGACTTGTTACCTCACATGCTTAACTGGAAATTTAGACTTTTCTTTTGGTTAACAACCATCTTACTGTTCACAATGGAGAGTATTGGGACACACTAGTATTGGATGTCAGAATAACAGAGTTCAGCATGGGACAGATATTGTTTAAAAACTATCCGAACATTGACTTAGCAAATTAATCCCACTAAAAAGAAGAGGTCATTAGAGTCAGTTTAAAAATTAAATAATATCCCCGATGTAGCTTCATAGGATATAAGATTCTCCAATGATGAGCCACCCAGGCAAACACACAGCTAAGATGTTTCTAGTCAAGCTGGACTGCCAAAGTGCTTAACGTTTGAAGAGTTGTGTGAACTGAGCAAACTTGGAATGATTATCCAAGTTAGTAAACTGGAATCATTTAAAAAGAGACTACAGGCATGTTGACACAGAGAGGAGTCCTGGAATTACAATTCCTCTAAAAAGGGGTTTTTTAAATGTAGTATGAAAATAATAAAATAAAAACAACCAATTATCTTTATTGAGTGCCTGTGAGCTACAGTGAATGTGGGTAATTTACAGGACCTGGACCCAAGTGGTCTCTCCCATTGCCCTAATCAGTAAGCTAAAGGGTGAAGGTTGAATCTTTAACCACTCTGTTGCCCCATCCTTCTCCTGTTGAAAGGTAAGCAAGTCTTACTTACAGAGTAAAAATTACCTTCAATAAAACTTTTTTTCAATTTTTATCAGCTTCCTGAGAGCATCAGAAATGAGGATTTGAATTAGAAATGAGAATTTGATGGTCAGGCCATGTTTTCTTAAGCTTTGGCCCCCTCCCCTCCCTTGGGGAAGTGAACCCCCACCTCTAGTTTACCTTCTAAATAAACTATATTTTCTAATCCAAAAAAAAAGAAAGAATGAGAATTTGAGCTGGGTGTGGTGGCTTATGCCTGTAATCCCACCATTTTGGGAGGTGGAGGCAGGAGGATTGTGTGAGTCCAGTGGTTCAAGACCAGTCTGGGCAACTTGGTGAGATCTCGTCTCTACAATAAATAGAATAAGTTAGCTGGGTGTGGTGGCGCACGACTCTGGTTCCAGCTACTTGGAAGGCTGAGGCAGAAGGATCATCTGAGCCCAGAAGGTTGAGGCTGTGGTGGCTATGAGTGTGCCACTGCACTCCAGCCTGGGTGCCAGAGTGAGACTCTGACTCAAAAGAAAAAAAAAAGGAATGAGAATTTGAGAGCTATGGCTATCTTTGTTTCTCCTTTTTAGTTTTGAGTTGGAGCCTTGCTCTGTCACCCAGTCTGGAGTACAGTAGCATGATCACAGCTCACTGTAGACTCGACCTCCTGCCTCAGCCTCCCGAGTAGCTGGGACTATAGGCGTGTGCCACCACGCTCAGCTAATTTTTTTATTTCTTGTAGAGATGATGTCTCACCATGTTGCCCAGGCTGGTCTTGAACTCCTGGGCTCAAGCGATCCTCTGCCTCAGCCTCTCAAAGTGCTGGGATTACTGGCATGAACCACCACACCCGGCTGACCATCTTTGTTCTTAAAGCCACCTCGAACTTAGTAAAAGTAGAGGAAAATTACATAAAGAGGAGATATCTTGGAGTGATGCTAAGTGCATTCAGAGATCACTCATCACACTGCCTAACTGCCTCTTTTATTCCAGTTCCTCTCTGCTCTCATACAAAAACCAATCTCTGACACACAGCATTCTCGCCCCACTGCCTACTGATTTGGGGCTCATGGAAATGCAATAAAACATTAAAAAAAAATCTGACTTTCATTTGGACCACAGCTCCCTACCCGAAACTGTCATTGCCCAGGGCGAGACCCTCCTAAGCCTGATCAGAATCAGAGCTGAGATTCCTCTCTTGATTTGGCTGTTTTTGTTGAAGCTGCAGGCCTAGAATAGAAAGATCCCTTAATTCCTCAAAGCAGATTAGTCAGTTGTGAAATATGAGTGTGGAAAACATTTCCATATGGCCACAGCTTTTTCTGGTATTTTCCCCCAAACTTAATATATACACATGAAATCCCCATCTCTAGAAGGTGCTCAAGCCAGGCAGAAACTTACATGCAGAAGGAGATGGTACTTGAGAATCCGCTGAACTGGTTTCAGAAGATAGGACCCCAGAGGCAGCGAGTGTTGTAGGGTCTCCTGACGCTCCCTGAAGAATTTGGCCAGCACTTTGTTCCTCATGCACTCGGTCAGCACGGCCACGGATCTGCAGGAAGGGCAAAAGCTTTTATTTACATTGTGATGCTTTTTATATGACCATCCGAGTTTTAAATGCTAACACATAAGTGTAAATACCCTAAAACTGGTAGGGGAGTCACAGAGCTACAGCCAGACTAGAACTCCTTTCAGCAAATTAGACAAAGGTGAATTAGAAAAAGATGGGTGGGGCTTGGTGGATCATGCCTACTGAAATCCCAGAACTCTGGGAGGTTGAGGCAGGTGGATTGCTCGAGGCTGAGCATTCAGTCTGGGCCATATAGCAAGAGCCCATCTCTACAAAGAAAAAAAAACAGATTCCCATCTTTCAGCCTAGGCAGCATAGTGAGACCTCGTCTGTACAAAAAAATCAAAAAATTAGCCAGAAATGGTGGTGCTCACCTATAGTCCTAGATACTTGGGAGGCTGAGGTGAAAGGATTGCCTGAGTCCAGGAAATTGAGGCTGTGGTGAGCCGTGATTGTGTCACAGCACGACACAGCCTAGTGCCAGGACATATGGCTTGGTAAAACAGATGTGAGAGGGATTTAACTCCCAATTGCCTTCCATCTGGGTATCTTTGTGCATTGCTCACCCTGAATGACTGTATTCCATTTCCACAGGTTAGATTGTAAGTAGTAGGTACCTTCATACTGTACTAAGAAAAAGGAGTTCTTTTTGTCAGCAGATCCAGATCTCTGCCAGGATGTTTGTCACCTTCTCTGTTGGTCACTTTTATATGATGCACAAACTGCATAATGTCACATGGTGTCCCTCCTTAGAGACCTCTTCCCTGGTTAATTTCCCCTTGAGAATCTTTGAACAGATTCTCCTGTCCACTTTCAAGTGGTTCTCCTCTCCTCTCTTTTTTCCCCCCCCTAAACAGAGTCAGGATCTCATTCTGTTGCCCAGGCTGGAGTGCAGTGGTATAATTATAGCTCACCGCAGCCTCAACCTCCTGGGCTCAGGGGATCCTTGTGCCTCAGCCTCCCAAGTAGCTATAGGCATACGCCACCATGTCTGGCTAACTTTCTGATTTGTTTGTAGAGATGAGGTCTCGCTATGTTGCTCAGGCTGCTCTTGAATTCCCGTAATCCTCCCGGCTCAGCCTCCAAGAGTGCTGGGATTATAGGTATGAGCCACTGCACCCGGCTCAGTTCTCCTTACTCTGAATCCAGTTCTGGAAAAACTACATAGCCTACAGAGTGTGCCTTGGTGCAGGGTATTTGTAAAGCAGACTAGAATTCCTTTTCCAGTCCAGCTCACTCAGAGGTAATGAGTACAGCCCCAAAATGTCTTAAGGGAATGACTGAAGCAATGCTTGTATCTTATACATAAATGTGAGAGTGGGCTTGTGTGGTCACACACACGCAAATTAAAATCTTATGGTCTCAGAACGTAGAAACCATTAAGTGGAAACACTTCAGCCCTTTTCTCCCCAAGTCAGTAATATGTTTTCAGGATTAATTGAGAAAATCAGATAGAGCCAAACAACAAAATGAGAGTCTGTGGAAGGAAGTTAAATGGAAGTCTCATAACTAAGCCAGTAGGGTCCCTTTTGTGCACATCGGCTATCAGAGAGATCTGGTCAAACTGACTCCTTTCTTTTTTTTTTTTTTTTTTTTAATGAGGCAGGGTCTCACTCTGTCGCTCAGGCTGGAGTACAGTGGTACCATCAAGGCTCACCACAGCCTCGACCTCCTGGGCTCAGGTGATCCTTCCACCTCAGCTTCCCGAGTAGCTGGGACTTCAGGCACATGCCACCACACTTGGCTAATTTTTTTTTTATAGAGACAAGACTTTGCTATGTTGCCCAGGCTGGTCTGGAACTCCTGGGCTCAAGCAATCTCCCACTTTGGCCTCCCAATGTGCTGGGATTACAGGTGTGAGCCACTGTGTCCAGCTATTTCTCCCTTGAGTGGAGATTTCAAAACTCTCCATCATGTAACCTGGGAACTTCTCTAAGGTTGTTTAGAGTCAGGATGGGCTGTGCTATAGCTCTCTGGTCATCTGAAGGCTTGAGCTCTTGCTCAAAAATAAGAACCTGTAACAAATTGAGAGTACACTGAGTTCTAGGTTCCCAGAAGTCTTGGGCATGGGCAGGCATCTGAGGACAATGACCTGACCGGGTTTGCACCCCTCCCTAGGGGAAAGAAGCTGAGAGAGTGAGGTGAGGGGGCCCTTGTACCTCTCACAGAAAAATCACTGGGGCCTGACTGGTATGAAGAAAGTAGACACCTGTTAAGGTGTGCTGGTGACATTTAATATCACCAGCCTGGATCCATGGGGGAAGAAAAATTGTCAGATGGGCCGAAACACCTGGCACGCTTGACTTGTTACGACAGGGAGAGGACCTCGGGCCTCAGAGAGCAAACTAATTGGAGACAAGAGACAAGAGAAAGCATTTCTCCATGAATATGAAAGCCACACAATTCAGCAAGAGCCAGACACGCCTTCTTCCCTGAGAACACCTTTCCAGCACCTCTCCTGCTAAGATGTTTCTTCAAAATGGGACTCAAAATTTAAAACAATAAAAATAAAAACACTTTCTCCAGAAATTTATTTTTAACTGTCCTCATTGAGACTTATTATTCCTTACTGAAAGAATCTTTAGCTTCTATTGCACATTACTGGCCGGGCACAGTGGCTCATGCCTGTAATCCTAGCACTTTGGGAGGTCAAGGTCAAAGGACTGCTTGAGCCCAGGAGTTCAAGAACAGCCTGGGCAACATAGAGAGACCTCATCTATTAAAAAAATAGAAAGATAAAAAATTACACCTTACTGAGTTTGTCCCATACTGATTTATATTTATTTGATTTTTTCCTAAGATGCTGTTTCCCTATTGCATTTAGTTGACTTTGACCCTCCAAAAAAAAGTGCTTGAAGGCAAGGCATATGGATTCCTGTTTCCTGCTAGTATGCACCAAGTTTGGGACAGTGCTCCATGAACAACAGGCTCTTACAAATGTTCTTGAACAAATAATTTTGCTTTCCCTGACTCTGAAGCAGCCTAGCGTATAAAAAGGCTGCCTTTATTTTACACTTTTCCTTCTTGGTAAGTCAGAAAATCTTCTGGGTTTGCAATTTGGACAGTTTATATTGAGAAATTACTTCTTCAAATGATATGTTTATAATGAAATCTACACAGACAATATCTGCCAAAGAAGCCCCTCTATCACTTCAGCTTCTGATAACCAGGTCCAGACCTTTGTTGATTCTTCAGAATTTGAATGTTTTCTTCCTTCCCTCAGAAGTTTTGTGAAGTTCAGAGCCGATTCTGTGATTTCTCTGAATTAGTGTGTGGTACAAACTGGGTTTTGGTTTATGGGCCACGGGATTTAGTTGGGGCATCCTGCAATTTCCTGACATCTTCAGCATTGTGGTGGAAACAAATACTTTAGGAGAGAGTTGTTTAAGCGAAACTATAACTATGGTTGGGTCTACAGATATGCTCCAATATGCGTGTGGGTTTTTGTTATTTGCTTTTTTCTTTCTTTTTTTTTAAGGGAAATCTGGAAAAAGCATGGCTTCCTCCAGTGGAAAGTATTTGACATTGCTAAGTCTGAGCCTTGGGCTTCTGGGTCTTTGCATTCACACTGGCTTTCTGGGACCAAGGGAGGTGTGTGTGTGTGTGTGTGTGTGTGTGTGTGTGTGTGTGTGTGTGTGTGTGTGTGTGTGTGTGTGTGTGTGTATTTTGGGGGGTATTCATTCTTCCTTCGCACAGCGACATTCGGGGATCAGTCTGCTGGCTTCTCTTCTAGGTGGATCCTAGGGACATGTTTCTACTGAGGCTCACTACAAAGGGGTCAAGTCTCTCCAGCTTGCCTCTTCCTAGCTGGTCCCTAAGATAACTCAAGTCCTGCTACTCAGGTAGAAAAAAAAGGAAAATAAAGAGGCATGAGTGGGATCATGAAGCTTCAGAAACTTTTTTTTTTTGAGTTGGAGTCTTATTCTGTTGCACAGGTTGGAGTGTAGTGGCATGATCACAGGTCACCGCAGCCTTTACCTGCTGGGCTCAGGAGATCCTTCTGTCTCAGTCTCATGAGTAGTGGGAATTACAGGGGCGTGCCACCATGCCCAGCTAGTTTTTTCATTTATTGTAGAGATGAGGTGTTGCCAAGTTGCCCAGGCTGGTCTCAAACCCCTGGGCTCAGGCAATCCTCCTGCCTCAGCCTCCCAAAGTGCTGGGAATGAGCCACTGTACCCTACAGAAACTTATACTCATAGTTGCATGAGTTCTTAGGTTGGAGAAATCTTGGCTCAAATCTTAGCTGGGCCATTTGTCAGCGATGTGCCCCTTGTGACATCACTTTACCTATCAGAGCCTCAGTTACTTCATCCGTCAAATGGGAAAGGGGCAGCGGCCACAGTGAACTAGCACTCGTGGAGAACCTACTAGAGGTCAGGCATGGGGATGGGTGTTCGGCTTGTCTTTAATCCTTCAAGATCGCTGGATTGCTGTGAAAGTTAAATTCTACATTTTTGCAATGACATCACTTAACACAATGCTTAGGAATTCATAAGTGTCCAATGCACATCTTTTCGAGAAAAAAAAAATTTCTTACAGCTGTGGTCCATTGCCTTCGGTCCAATTCTCTTACTGAAACAGTCAATACCTAGCCCGGGGGGGCTTCTTTTTTTTTTTTTGAGTTGGAGTCTCACTCTGTTGCCCAGGCTAGAGTGCAGTGGCACACTCACGGCCATCCCAGTGTTGACCTGCTGGCCTCCAGTGATCCTTCCGCCTCAGCCTTCCAAGTAGCATGCACTACCACGCCCGACTAATTTTTTGATTTATTGTAGAGACGAAGTCTCCCAAGTTGCCCAGGTTGGTCTTGAACCCATGGGCTCAGGCAATTTACTCGCCTCAGCCTCCCAAAGTGCTGGGATTACAGGCTGAGCCACCGAGCCCAGCCCAGGGGGGTTTCTCACAGTATCCTCCCGCCTGCTGCCTAATGTAAGCAAGACTGAGTTAACAACACAGGTGAAGCAATTTTATGATTCTCACTGTGATGTCTTTTCTCTGAACTTCATGAAACTTACATGTTTCATAAAACTCATACAGCAAAAATAGAATATACCTTCTCCCCAGCTAGATTATATAAATTCATAAGCCATGCTTCCCAAATCCTCGAAAACATGGCACATACAGAAAATGGTTAGCAAACAAGGCTTACAGCCAGATGCAACATGCTCACTTAAGTTTTTGTTTGGTACTAGCTACTCACTTTTCTGGTCTTTTCCAGTCTTTCATAATTTTTCCCTATACTGGCTCTGCTGGGAGCCCCAAAGCCCAAAGGGATCAATATCTGGGTACCCCCTAGTCTTTTCTTAGCATAATTATATACATAATTTTTTTTTAAGAGACAGGGTCTTGCTATGTTGCCCAGGCTGATTTCGAATTTTGTGACTCCAGCAATCTTCCTGACTCAGTCTCCCAAAGTACCAGGATGATGGACATGAGCTACCCTGCCCGGCTAATTCTCAGCATGCTTGGAATTCCTCCCATAGTATCCAGCACAGGGCCAGGTCTATATAACTGCTACGCCCGCGTACATTGGACCGACAACCTTGAAACAATAGGAAACCGAACAAAAGTACTCCCTGCTCATTCCTGAGCCATACCTCGGATAGTTAGTGCAATACTGGGTATAAATGTGGAACTCTTCACTCTGCGAGGAAACAAAAGAGATTTTTATCGCCAAAGAGCACAGACAACAACATTCATTTGACAATAAAAAGTCATAGCATTCAGGCCTTTACATTTGCGGCTCTGATCACACAGGCAAATCTCTCAAGCCCCTGTGGTCATCAACTGAGCCCATTTTTCCACCTTGTTTTATGCCTAAAATCCATATGCATTTGAACTCATTTGAGTCCAATAAGCATTTATTGAGCAGCTGCTGTGTTATGGTGAATCTGAAAACAGGAAGAGGATGAAGATAAAGTTTCTGCCCCAACGTCTTAGTCCTCTGGTAGATATTCAGCACGGGGGAAAACTATAAGGAGATTCTTTATTTAATAATTCTATTGGTTGATTGACAGATTGAGACAGGGGTTTCACTCTGATACCCAGGCTGCAGTGCAGTGGTCATGGCTCACTGCAGCCCTGAACTCCTGGGCTCAAGCAATCCTCCTGCCTCAGCCTCCTCCTGAATAGCTGGGACTACAGATGTGCGCCGCCACGCCCAGCTAGTTTTTCAATCTTTTGTAGAGATGGGAGTCTTGCTTTGTTGCCCAAGCTGGTCTTGAACTCCTGGCCTCAAGTGATTCTTCTGCCTCAGCGTCTCAAAGTGCTGAGATTATAAGTGTGAGTGATCATGCCCAGCTATATGTAGATAATTTAAGTATCACATGGTAAGAACATGTTGGAGGTGTGTGAAGGAATGAGAAAGCTGCCGTACACCTTCCAGTCTTTACCTATGCAGATTGTCACTGGAGAGTCACCATGTAGGATCCTTTGAAATGGAATTCAGGCTTTATTCCTTCCAAGCCTGCTCCGTCTCCAGGTGCAGGTGTGTGTGTGTGTGTGTGTGTGTGTGTGTGTGTGTGTGTGTGTGTGTGTCTTGACCAGCTGAGCTCAGATGATCCTTCCACCTCAGCCTTCCAAGTAGCTGGAACCACAGGCACATGACATCTGGTCAATTTTATTTATTGTAGAGACGAGGTCTTGCTAAGTTGCCCAGGCAATTCACTGGCCACCGCTTCCCAAAGTGCTGGGGTTACAGGTGTGAGCCACTACGCCTGGCCAACACCCAGTATTTACCTGTTATGTAGCATTGACCACACGATAGTGACATTTTCTGTTTGTCTATCTCCCACACTAAGCTGTGAGCTCCTTCACATGAGGGGCCATCTTGTGTTCATTTGGCACAAAATATTTGTTGAACCACTGAACTACTCTCTCCTATTAAACTGAAAATTATTAGTGAGCAGGATTCAGGTCCACTGTAGGCATGAGCACAGTAGCAGTGCCTCAAATGCAATAAATGTTTGACTGGTTGGAATGGTGGCTCATATCTATAATCCCAGCACTTTGGGAGGCTGAACCAGGAGGAACCCTTAAGCCCAGCAGCTCGAGACCAGCCTGGGCAACATAACAAGACCCTGTCTCTATAATAAATAAATAGATAAACATAAATAAATAAATAAATATTTCATTAACAAATGTGGGGTTCTTGTCTTTTGCTATGATTATATTCCTATTTCCTAAAATCTTTTTAATTCCAAGGCTCTCTTAGTCTTTCTGATGCCTCATCATATGATCAGCTATTAAAAATAATAAATATGCTCATTAAAGGATAATTTCTGGAAAAGGCAGAATCATGACTTCTGTGCAAATATAAAATGAAAACTGTCAAGGATTTTATTTAACCTATTAATCAATGAGGAGAGCAGCAAGACATATTAACTAGACCAAAGTGGAAATAAAACTATCATACTGGGCGCAGTGGCTCACACCTGTATTCCCAGCACTTTGGGAGGCAAAGGCGACAGAATTGCCTGAGTCCAGGGGTTCGAGACCAGCCTGAGCAGCAACTTGGCGAGACCTCATCTCTACACTAAGTCAAAAATTCTGCCGGGCATGGTGATACATGCCTGTGGTTCTAGCTACTTGGAAGACTGAGGAGGAAGGATTACCTGAGTCCAGCAGGTCAAGACTGCGGTAGCAGTGAGCGTGCCACTGCACTCCAGCCTGGGTAATAGAGTGAGACCCTGTCTCAAAAAAAATTACCTCACTTAGGAATGCTGAAATGAATTTACAGATAATTACAAAACTGGCTTTTTCCTTGGGGATGAGTGAGGGGAAAAAAAAATCAACTGTCCTTTTGTGGGACAGAAATTATCTGCAGCTCAAGAATCATTTACATTACCATCAGGTATCTAAAATTTACTGCACTATAAAATGGTTCAATGATGATGAAACGAGACCCTGCTGATTGACATGATCTGGAAGGGTAACTGAAAGATCCCTTGCATCCTATTTGAGACACCCCCTCTCTCTTGTGGATTTCAGTCTCCCCCAATTCTTCCCTGCACTGCCAAGGGAAAGAGGTACGTAGACTGGTCAGGGCAGGGGCCGAAGCTTTTGATTGTAAGACTCAGTTAGAGTGACTAGTTCAAGGCCAGTGAATGACCAGTTCTTGCAAAACCTAAAATAAATTTACATTGTGAAAAACAGCCCTAGATCCTTTGGGTGGTCATTTCACATTCTGTTCCTTTTGACTTTTTACTTTCTTTTGCTTTTTAAACCACTTCATGCAGGATTCAAATGTGACTCCAAGATAGGACCTTATTTTATTTTTTTTAGTAACTTTAATTGTTATTATTATTTTTAATTCAAAAGGAATCTTTACTTAGAATTCTTCATCAACTGGAATTAAACTTTTTCTTTTTTTTTTTGAGTTGGAGTCTCACTCTGTCGCCCAGACTAGAGTACAGTGGCTGCTTCCGGCCACCGCAGCCTCGACCTGCTGGGCTCTGGCGATCCTTCCGCCTCAGACTTACAGGGACATGCTGCCATGCCTGGCTAACTTTTTGATTTATTGTAGAGACGGGGTCTTGCCAAGTTGCCCGGGCGGGCCTCGAACCTGTGGGCTCAGGCAATCCGCTTGCCTTGGCTTCCCAAAGCGCTGGGATTACAGGCTGAGCCACCGAGCCTGGCCAAACTTTTTTTTTGAGTCATAGTCTCCCTCTATCACCCAGGCTGGAGTACAGTGGCAGGATCACGGCTACTTCAGCCTCGACCTGCTGGGTTCAGGTGATCTTTCCATCTCACTCTCCCGAGCAGCTGGGACTACAGGTGCACACCACCATGTCTGGCTAATTTTTTGATTTATTGTAGAGATGAGGTCTCACCAAGTTGCCGTGGCTGGTCTCAAATCCATGGGTTCAGGCAATTCTCTTGCCTCGGCCTCCCAAAGTGTGGAGATTACAGGTATGAACCACCACACCCAGTGAGAGGATTAAATATTGTTTAAAATCACAGACCATTTCAAGCATACAGTATATAAAATAAAGATCATGGTATCATCAGTTCCCAAGTATCCAATGTTCAGCCTCAACAATCATTAACTCACTGTCTACTTGCTAACTGCTTCCCTGCTTCCCCATCACTCTGAAGAAAATTTCAGAAATTATATCATCTTACTTATATTTTAGCATGCACCTCTAAAATAAGAACTTTAAACAAGAAGCATCACCATCATACCATTATCGCACTTGAATAATTCTATTACATCAGGAAGGTTCACCAGTCACCACACATAGTTCCTTAATTTTCTTTTTTTAAAATAGTTTGCATGATTTGGAAATAAAATTCACACACGGCAACCACTTGGTATCTCCTTAGTCTCTTTTAATCCTTACGTTTTCCTCTGCCTCTTTTTTCTCTGCAAGCCAGTTGCTGAAGATACCAGATTGTCTATCCTGCACCGTCACAGTCACGGTCTTACTGACAACATCCCTATGGTTTCCTATACTGTGCCTGGTTCACTGTACTCCCTGTGGGTTAGGAGAGGCCTGATTGGGTTTAGGATCCATAATTTGAAACAAATGTATTACAGATTGCCTTCCACCAGGAGGCACACATACCTTGTTGTCTCTCTTTTGCAATGCTAACGATCATTGGTAGTTAGTGTCCATATTTATTAACTTATGAGGAATTGCAAAATGGTGATTTGTAAATTTATTTATTACTATTTCTTATTTATTTATTTAGAGTCAAGGTCTCACTCTGTTACCCAGGCTGGAATGCAGTGGCACATCATGGTTTACTGTAGCCTCAATATCCTGGGCTCAGGCAATCCATCTGCCTCAGCTTTCCAAGCACCTGGGACTACAGGTGCTCGCCACCATGCTTGGCTAATTTTTACTATTTTGTAGGCACCAGATCTCACTATTTTTGCCAGGCTGGTCTCGAAATCCTGGGCTCAAGTCATCCTTCCACTTTAGCCTCTCAACGTGCTGAGGTTACAGGTGAGCCACCACGCCTGGCCAATATTTCTATGATTCCTTTTTCATTTATGAGTCAGAATCTTTCCAGAAAAGGAATTTCCTTATATTAACTATTGGTTACTCTACAGTTTTTGGTTTGTATGAGAAAGGCAAGATAAACAGTTCATTCTTTCCTTTAATTTTCAAAATAATGCATTCATTCTCTAGCATCCTGCAAAGGTGATCCATTTATTTATTTATTTATTGAGTTGGAGTTTCACTCTGTCGCCCAGACTGGAGTGCAGTGGCACACTCCCGGCCACCACAGCCTCGACCTACTGGGCTCCAGCGATCCTTCTACCTCAGCTTTCCAAGTAGCTGGAACTACAGGGACATGCTACCACGCCCGGCTAATTTTTGATTTATTGTAGAGACGAGTTCTCACCAAGTTGTCTGGTTGGGTCTCGAACCCGGGGCTCAGGCAATCCATCCGCCTTGGCCTCCCAAAGTGCTGGGATTACAAACTAACCACCAAGTCCAGCTATTTAAAAAATATCACTGCGAATTCATAAACATAAGCACATGTAATGAGTTTCTATTGTTTTTAGTTATTTATCTTTTCTGATGTTCAAATTATTGCACTTTTGGCTACGAGGCACCTCTTCTTAAGCAGTGGCCTCTTTTTGAGCACTCATGACTTGACCTCTAGTTTTTGGTAGTTGGTCGTGTTTTCTGG